GCCGGGCCCCGCGGCGGTCCCCCCAGACCCCCGCCCCGATCCCGGCGCGGCGCGGAGCGGAGCGCTGACGGGTTCTTTGTCCCTCTGTCCGTCCCGCAGCTGGTGCGCAGGAGGCACGTCCTCGCCCGGCTCCGCGACGCCCTGGCCCGGCCGGCGGGGCCCGCCGTGCAGCTGCTGGCGGCTGAGGAGAGGCTGTGCGCGCCTTTGGTGGCGGCTCTCTCCGGTAAGAGCCCTGCCGCGGCCCGGTGCGGCCGCGGGGGGAGGACGGGTCCTTCTCCCCGGCAGACGTGTACCCGTGAAGCTTCTCTGCCTGGGAAGCCAAAAAAAAAAAGCCAGCAAAAGAACACCGAGGTGCCTAACGCCGTACTTGCAGCGTTCTGCGCTAGGTGTGGTTTCACTCCCTGCGGAGAACTGCCTGACGTTTGATTAGGAATCGGTTAATTAATCTCCTTATCCCCCAAGGAGCGGGACCGGCACGTTCTGAAAGCTCTTGCAATCTCCCAGAGCTTCTCGGCCTATCTGTAAAGCCTCTCTGGAGAACAGGGAGCGCTGGCGTACGACCCTCCCCTGAACACCCCCCCTTCTGCTCGCCTGCCTCAGTGCTTTGTGCTCTGGCTGGGCTGTGGCCTTACAGAGGGACGCACGCAGAAATGGAAGCGTGACCTTGAGAAGGCGCTGTAGGATTTAAGACCAAAGGTGCAAAATACATAGCATTTTTTTCACACCGTTGCTTTACATTTGTAGAAATCCTTGTAGGCGTAGGACTGTAGTACCCGCTGCTTACTGGTGGGTCAGCCTCACAGCAGGAGAGTGTTCCGCAGAACGCCAGAAGGTGCCTTTCCAGTAACGGCCTTAGTGATCTTGAGCATCTCTTACTGGTTTGCTGTTTGCCGTGGGAAAGGTCTCTGGAACGCCATCTAAAATCTTGATGGAGAAGAAATAAGGGTCTAAATGAGGGAACAGCAAGGCAGGAAGAGAAAGGTGGAGGGTATGAATGCGAGTGCCTTCAAAGAGCAAATATACTGGATTCCTTTAATTCCATGATCTCATTTGCACATCACAGATAATTCTTGTTCTTTGGGGGAAAGTGACTTACAAGCCCCTTTCCCTGCCTTGACGCACTGAATAATTCAAACAGCATTTTCCCAGTTGATTTCCCAGCACAAACTGCATTGTGCATGTTTTGGAAGCAGCTTTGTTAGAAATGGAACTTTGTGCAGGTTTAGTTCTCTCTGTTGCACAAATTTTTATTGAGTGCCGTCTGTGCACATGATCCTATACAGATGTGGAGAGAGTGGTCGTTAGGGCCAGCTCAGTCCTATGCTGTATGACCCTAACACGAAATACCCCAGAAGACAGAGGAGCTATGCTTGTATTTCAATGCTCTTGTCTGCTTTTAAATAATAATTCTCCCTCTCTTTGAGAAGCTTTACAATTGGGTGGTCTGGGGACAGCTTTGGGATTTTACTGTACTTGGTGTAACCCCTAGAGCAGTTGGCATCCCAGTCTAAGCTTGGGGCTACAAGCAATGACATGTAAGTTTTGGATAGAGCTTGGATGAACTGGGTCTCGTCTGGTGCAAGGGAGTAAGAGGGACACCCCCCCCCCCCAAAGGTTTGAGCAATGCTGTGGAGGAAGAATTAATAGTAAATTCAGGAAAATACATTCATTTTTCGGAGGGAGAATATTAGGGTAAGCACAGACAGAAGAAAGAGGGTTAAGAGAACAGAGGTGTAGTGTGGAGTGTTACATACGAGAAGATGGTGAATTTCAGGTAAGCCAGAATTTCATGCAGCTTATGTTGCAATGTTCACTAGTGCTGTATGCAAATCTTTTCCAAAGGGTAAGGAATTTACTGAAGATTGGGCAGATGAGGCAGGAAATAAGTAATTTCTTCACCTGCAATGTCATAACATTGCTTTAGTTGGTCAAATTTCTGAGAGGTCATGGAGTCTCCAGGGGGGAGGTAATTGGATTGGATACGTTGAAACAAGTGGTTTGGTGTGGCAGAAGTGGGGGTCTGAACCAGACCCCTGCTGCTGTAGGTACCTGAAGTCGGAAGGAGCTGGGAGGTAGAGTTTCTCATCTGTTGTGGTGTAGTGGAGTGAGACAGTGCTTATTTTAATATATCCAATCTTACGCTCTTGTTGTACAAATGACTTGTGAAGTGGTGCCTTCAGGTTCAATTTAATGTTGGAATAGTTTCCAGATGCTTTAAATCTCGTGTTCAGATTTGGTCTCGGGATTTTCAGTACTGTGGAGAAGACTGTTCATGGTATTGGGTATGAATGCAAGACAGAAGGGACAACTCACAGCTGGGCTCTAACTTCTGTCATTCTGGAGCGTTGTTTCAGATGTATAACGTTGGATACAGGCAGCAAGATGTGGTGACGGTAGCAGTTACATATTTGCTTACATAGGTGGAGCCATTGACTTAAACTGTAAAGTACCTAAAAAATTTGCAGAAGAACTGAATGCCTTCATGTCCCTGCGTCCTGCTTATGGAGGCGCCTTTTGTGATACTCCCTGAGAGAGCATCCACCTTCCTCTGACAACGTCAGACTGGTGTCATGTGAAGTGGGGTAAACAAAACAGTTCTGAAAAAAATTTGCAGCTCTTTTTAGAAGGCATTACAGCGCTGATGAGCACAAGCAGGAGTGGGTTCCATGACTGATTGTTGTTTATCTTTTAGGGATGTTGCATACTGTGGAGGACAGCAGTACCCTGGACTTATTCATAGAAGGTGAGAGGCAGATGCCATGTCTCAATTACTGACAGTTTGTGAAGGGAGGCTCTGTCTTGTCCGATAACTATAGTGAGATGCTCAGCTTCTACACAGCTTGAATTGGAAAGAGCATCTATTTTCTGTCAACGCAACAGTGACGAGCATACTGTTCCAATATTTGGGAGCAGGGCAGTGCATGCAGATTTAAATATTTAGCATTTCTCTCACAGGTTCTGTGCATGCCATGAATTTAGTGTCAGATGGGTAACAGTGGTAAACAGTGCCTCATCTTGGGACCTGACCGAAGTCTCAAAGCAAATGGCAATCTTCCCGTAGGCTTCAGTGAGCTTTGGGATCCACTGCTTTCTCCTCAGAACAGAGAGTATTTGGGATTTACCTGCACAGGCTGCAGATTCTCTTTGTGAGCAGTCCTTCATTTGAAATCTGAAGGAAATGCCTGCAGGGCTGACAAAGCAGCAGGCCAGTTAACCTTGGGCATCTCTATTGAGTCTAGTGGTGTTAGCAATGGAACGATTTCCTCCTGTCCAGCCAAGAAAGATGAAGGGAGGTTTGACCAGCTCCTTCCAGAGGCGTTTCAGTTTTCAGGCACTTGCTTGAAATGGTCTTGAAAAGGTGAGAAGTCTTTCTGACATGTTACCAGTCTGTTGAGAGATGGATGCTCTTGAACAGAGGAATTTTAACTTAGTGTTACCTAACTCTTGAAAGTTTTTAGAGATTCTGAGAGTTCAGGGCAAGAAAGGGCCATTAAACCATCTATAAATCGCCTGCCTCAAGCCTCTGCTGAGATGCGCAGCTCTTCAGCTAAAGTAGGTCTCCTAGATAAACCTCCAGTATTGCCCTGGATATACCAAGAGATGGTGAACCTAGAAGTCTCTGGTATTTTTTTTTTAATGATGCTTTCCTAGAATACAAATCAAAAGAGTGTGTTTTTCAAATGAGTCGTGCCATGACAGGAAGATACATCCAAGACAGCCTTAGCAAATCCCGTGGAACAATCCTCTGCACAGTGTCTCGGTAAGGGGGCTATTGTCAAAACTTTATCTGCTGAACATTCAGGTGCCCAGGTTCTAAAAATACCAGAAGAGGAACTTTGCTTCCTGAAACTGGTCCACTGGTGTATGTGTGGAGGCAGAGGCAACCTGCCAGCATCAGGCAACTCCCTTGTGATTTTGTTAGGGAAACCCCAGGTGATGTGCAGCCAGTGCCTGGTAAACGTGGTTTCTTGTTGATTCCTCTTACTTGGACAGGGTGGACAGAGTTCTTAAAGTTTCAGTGAACCCAGAATAACAGCCCTTCCTCAGGGCCGAGAAGGTGAATGGTACCACAAAGGTGACTGGGGTTTTCCTTTCTGGCAAGGTGTGTGGGATAACTGCAGTGGGGAGGAATGGCTGATAGACTGCAGTGTTACCTCAGGGATAGCAGGAGCTGGAGGAGGAGCTCTCGGTCTGCGTCTGAGGACACTCAGCAGTTTCAGTTATGATATCTTCTCTGGAAAGATGTGTTTTTAAAGGCCAATTTTCATACTGTAGGAAATTCTATCCAATTACCAGAAATTTTTATACTTTTAAGCTAGGGCTTTGTTTCCTTCCCTTCCTGGTTCCTTACCTTTACTTGGTGTCCTGATGCTCAGGTTGTCGCTTGCAGTTCATTTCTATGCATGGTTTGTAGTGCAGCTGGAACAGGACTGCTGTAATGTTGCTGCAGAGAGCTCAGGCTGGGCTATCAGAAGTAATAGCACTGAGAATGCCAATGCTGCCCTGCTCTCTCGGCACCTCTGTGCTCATTTAATTTCTAAGCTCTTTGCTCACTGGTCTGCTGAAGCCCCGTGGATGATTGATTGTGAGTGCTCTTGGGTGTGAATTACTGATCCTGGTTCTTCTGCCTAGTTCTGGTGCGGCTTGTAGTGGAGCTGAAGTCAGAACAGTACTTACGCTGCATTTTGGATGAAAGCCAGAAAGAGGTCAGTGAAGATGAATTCCCTGCCCTTCCTTTCAGTCCTTCAGAGGTTGAAGAGCTGGGAACGAGGGGTCCTGCAAGACTGCAGCTGCTGCGCTGGGATGCAGCCTCTGCTGCAAGCGGGGTGTCCTAATGCCAGCTCCCCAGCTGTGATTTTGGCAGTGTTGGTGTCTACCCTGGAGTTTTCCTCTTGCTCCCATGGTGCCTTGCAGCCATATGGCTTCGTGGTGCTCTTGTGAAGCTGTGTGGCTTCCTCAGATTCTTCTTTTCCTGCCTTACTGTTTCTGTGATATGAGGAGCTTTCCCAGCCTGTGCCGTGGGCTCTTGCTCTCTTCATTCCTAAGTTTGTGACGATCCCATGGGGTACAAAAAATTGGGAAGTAATAAAAGTGGGGAGAAATTCAGCTGGTTCATCTGCTCATGTAAGAGCTGGAGGGGAGAGAGAGGAGAAGGAACAACAAGCAAGAGATTTCTTGGATTAATTAAAAGACATTTTGGAGACTTAGCAGTGCGTTCAGGGTTTTCCTGTGGTTTATCCTAAGTGGTGAAGAGGACCCAGCTTAGAAAAAGATCCTGTTCCGGAGGGTTATGCATCACTGAGAGCTTGCTGGTTTGGGTGCATTTCTGCCTCTGGACTGTGTCCTCACCAGTGAAACATTTGCTTTCTCTGTCTCCTCTACAGCTTTGCAAAGCAACTACCATGAGAGGCAGCCTGCCTACATTCACTCTCTTGGGCAAGCTGGCAGATGCCATCCCGGGCTTTGCTGATATACTGGTAGTAGAGCACAGTGAGTAATGTGTCGTGCCCCACTGAAGGGTAGTATTCGCAGCCCTAGTACACGTAGGCATGCATGTGCTCCCCTGTCCCCTGTGTGAATTCACGAAGGTCACACAAGAAGCCTGTGCAGAAGTCAGAGTGGCATTCAGGCCTCCGGGGTTGCAGGTTCAGTACCTTCGTGGCAGGCTTGTCATTGTGCTCTTAGCCAGCCTGGCAAAACCCACCTCTGTGAACTGGGATTTGTGGGTCTGCCTCACAGGCAACATACATTCAGTTTTGCTTTCCTTCGTCCAGCCCCTGCAGGTCTGGTGAGCAAGCTTAGCTGTTTATGGAAGTAGCTGGGATGATGGATCTTCATATGGGGAACAGTGAGCTTCTCTAGCCATTTA